TTCTTGTCCCTGCTGGTCTACTGATCCATCTGTGAAGTAAGTGAAGCTGTCGGATGCCATGTTTGCTTCTATATGCATCTGTGCAATGTTACGTAGCAGATGAGGATTTGTCTGGTTCTTTTTTCCTTCAATAACCATAATCTTAAAGACTGCTGACGGAGATTCCCAAGGCGCTTCCATAACAAAGTCTGCATGTATTTCGTCGACACCCTTCTCAGAGACTGTGTTTGTTATATCAAATGTATTGATGTTGTTTATCTCACAATGGGTCCACCTGTTGCTATTGGAGGCTCTTCTGTCCAGAGTTAGTGCTCCAGTGATTATATCTTTAAGTGAACAGATTTTGGGTTAGTCAATATCTTGGTCAGCATGCATGCAGCAATCCCTTTTACCCTTATTTCAATCGACGTTAGCATGGTTTCTATTCTTAGGTTCAGTATTTTAGTCCATCTGGGAGCTCCTGTTATGATTCACAATGCATCGTTTTGAATAACCTCAACGTTTGCCCACTGACCAGGAGAAAGAGTGGGTAAGGCAGGCGCTGCATAATCAACTAGGGAACGAACGGTGTGTATGTAAAACATTCTTAACACTTTGTGTCCCTCTCCTAGACGGGGGAATGTGATTCTCTCATTATATTCAGTCGTGATTTTGCTTTCTCCTTTAGATATTGAATTTGCTTGTTGAATGTCATTTTAAAATCTATCCACACTCCGAGATATTGATATTGTGTAACCCACTGAAGGTTAATGTCTTGAATGCGTAGGTGTCTGTCTGGAGTGATGGCACCTAGTCTCACTGCCTTAGACTTCTGTGCAGATATTTTTAGCCCTAAAACGCTGCATTCAGATGTTATTTTATCTAATGCACCTTGTGCTTTATTGAGTGAAGGACCTGTAATGACTAATGCTATATCATCAGCATAGCTTAGCAATTTAACTCCTTCTGTAAATGTCATGGTAACACGGTTTTCCATAAGGATGTTAAAGAGACTAGGACTGAGGACTCCTCCTTGTGGAGTCCCATTCTCGTGCAAGTGGTAGTCCGACACATGTCCTTGCTACTTTACTCTGGCATACCCGTGACGTAGGTAATCTTTAATCCATGCTAGCATATTTCCCTTTACACCTTTTTTAACTAAGGTGTGTAAAATTGCTTGGGGGCTTGCAAGTTCGAATGCTTTTTCTAGATCTAGGAAGATCACTATAGCTGGACCTGAGTTAACTGTTCCTAGTAATGTTGCTATGAAGTTGGCAGTACCTACTCCTTTAGTGAAGCCAAATATGTGTTTATTAAGGTCTCTAGTCTTCCACAGTAGCCTATTTAAGACCATCCGTTCTGCAGTTTTACTAATGCATGATGTTAATGAAATGGGTCTGTAATTGCCAGGTTCTTTCGGCTTAGGAATCGGTATGATGTCTGCTTTCTTCCAAGAGGTCGGTAGTTTGCCTTGCTGCCAAGACGCATTGTTGACGTCCAATATTCCTTGTTCTCCAGCAGGACCTGCATGTGCGATCATTGAGTATGTAATGTTATCAGCACCTGGTGCAGTGTCCTTACCACCTTTTTGGCTCTGATTAGTTCTTGTTTGGTGAAGGGACAGTCACATTCGTCATTTATAGCTATGCTCTCATGAATGACTGTCAACCTCTCTTGTTTTAATTGTTCTTGCTGCCTTCGGACCATTGTAGGAAGCTGATATGAAGCTGTTCTTTCTGCAAATTGGAGAGCAAGTCTCTCAGCCTCCTGCAATGGTTGAATACATGCCTGTGGTCGGGCTGGTCGACCTGATATAGTTTTAATCTGACCCCATATCTTGCCAAGACTACTATGTTCATTTAGAGTTTGACACCACTCAAACCATCTTGCCTCCTTTACTTCCCTAGAAACTCGTCTTGCTTCAAATATCACCGTTCTTAGCAGAGTTCTTCCTTCTGGTGTGGGGTTTCTCTTTAGAGGTTTTCTGAAGATGTTGACTCTGTGGTTCTGTTCTTTAACTTCATTACTATAGAACCAATAGTTCTTTCGTTTTGTGTTTCCTGTGATAATGATTGGAATAGCTTTGTTTGCAGCAGCTCCAATGGCTTCCTGCAGATTGGTCTCGTGTATGTTCAAATCCTCAGGTGGCGTGTATGTTGCATTCCATTTTTCAAGTTCTTCTTGGTATCTAGGGAGGGAGCAAAGCATTGGCAAAGAATTATAGACCAGTTGCACTAACATCGCACATCATAAAAGTATTTGAGAGAGTGATTAGGAGTCAGGTCAACAATTTCATGGAGAACAATGACCTTCACAACCCAGGCCAACATGGATTTCGAGCGGGAAGATCGTGCCAAAATTTCAAAGCAATCGGTAAAGAGATTTTGTAGGTTTCCCTCCCAAGAAAAACACAGTTTTTCAAAAAAGCATGTTTTTTCCCCGTCAAAGACGTGATATTGACACAGTATGTATATAAAAACGCGCTCGGATGCGAATGGAACGTTGTGTGAAAATTTCAAAGCAATCGGTGAAGAACTTTCGGAGATTAGCGATTTTGAACAAATTTTTTCATTTTTATTTATATAGATATATATACATTTTCGAAGAAATATATATATATATATATATATATATATATATATATATATATATATATATATATATATATATATATATATATATATATATATATATATATATATATATATATATATATATATATATATATATATATATATATATATATGCTTATATATATATATTTTTTTTTTTTTTTAAAGTTTGTGAGGGTACCACCTCTGGTGCCAATGTGGGGACCCATAGCCTCGGAGAAGAAAATAAAAAGTATTCAGAGGAGACCTTGTGGTTTCTCACTGAACACTAATATTATCTTCTCCTACCAACCCCATTCTTTTGTATGTACACATATATATTTACTTTATTATAACTTTGTTACAAAAAAGGAGTTACATATGGGTTACAAAGATGGTTATCATAGGTTGTCGAGTTCCTCCAGCTCCTCAGATGGCAGGCAGGAACCCTGGATGCAGTGCGCATTTCCCCTCTGTATCGCCACACTGAGGCACTGGAAAAGAAAGCTTGCAGCTCTTGGGTCCCTTGTTGTTTCAATGAGCCTAGAACCCAGTTCCTTCAAAAAACTGGTAGCACTTTATATATATATAGCACTTTATATATATATAGCACTTTCTATATATATATATATATATATATATATATATATATATATATATATATATATATATATATATATATATATATATATGTGTGTGTGTGTGTGTGTGTGTGTGTGTGTGTGTGTGTGTGTGAGAAAGCTGCATGAACGCGCAAGGCTTAAATCACTAAGAACTCTTTGACCCGGCCAGGATTCGAACCCATGCCGTCTAGGATCACCCCTAAACGTTCACAGTACCGTGACCACCGCACCAACGTGACGATCATTGGTGCGGTGGTCACGGTACTGTGTACGTTTAGGGGTGATCCTAGACGGTATGGGTTCGAATCCTGGCCAGGTTAAAGAGTTCTTAGTGATTATATATATATATATATATATATATATATATATATATATATATATATATATATATATATATATATATATATATATATATTATTAAATATGACCGAAAAAGTAAGATTAATAATTCTAACACGAATTTTCTCGATCTTTCTTACGTTTCTTTTCACTGTTGATGGCAATTCAAAGATCATTTCTCCAAAATTCATTTTTATTTTTCATAAAATTCATAAAAATGAATTTTGGAGAATTGATCTTTGCATTACCATCAACAGTGAAAAGAAACGAAAGAAAGATCGAGAAAATTCGTGTTAGAATTATTAATCATACTTTTTCGGTCATATTTAATAATATATGTCTACAGGAAAGACTGCTACCAATATATATATATATATATATATATATATATATATATATATATATATATATATATATATATATATATATATATATATATATATATATATATATATATATATATATATGTATATATAAGCAATAAGCCATCCAGCTGGGATCGCCCCATTGCTGACCAAGAAGCTGCAACTTTGCTAGAAGCTGCGACAACACCACATGACACTGCCCGACTTAGAGCTGTAGCAGCTCCCCATGCAGGTGATTTCCTATTAGCATCCCCAATGTCAGCAACCGGCACCCGTCTCACACCGCAGGCCCTCCGAATTGCCGTGGCTCTCCGCCTCGCTGCCCCAATCCACACTGAATTCAGGTGTATTTGCGGCAAGGCAGAGGCCGACAGATATGGACGGCATGGCCTTCTTTGCCAAAGGACGGGAGGATGCCATGCAAGACACGGCGAGGTTAATGACATTATTAAGAGAAGCCTTACCACAGCCGGTTGTCCAGCAGAGAGAGAGCCTCGTTACCTAATGTCCCGCAACTCTGATGAGCCTGTCGGTCGCCCAGACGGAATTACGGTGAACCCCTGGAAGAATGGTAGACAGTTGGTGTGGGACTACACTTGCGTTTCAACTTTAGCCAATACCTATGTTGACTTCAGTGCTACACAAGCAGGAGGAGCTGCCAATCACCGGGACGCGGCCAAGTCACATAAATACTGAGACCTTGAGCACCACTACAATTTTGTCCCCATTGCCTCAGAGACACTTGGTGCCTGGGTTAAAACTGCTGCTAGCTTTTTGAAGGAGTTGGGGTCTAAGTTATTCGAAACAACTAGAGACCCTAGAGCTGCCAGTTTTCTTTTTCAGTGCCTTAGTGTGGCAATCCAGAGAGGAAATGCTCACTGCATCCACGGTTCCTGCCCGCCATCTGAGGAGCTGGAGGAGCTGTTCAACTTGTGACAAGCAGCCTTGTACCCTGCATGAAATCAATATTGTAACTTTTTTTGTGTAATGACATTTTCAAATAAAGTTAGATAAATATAATATATATATATATATATATATATATATATATATATATATATATATATATATATATATATATATATATATATATATATAATTACCTGATTCGGTGAAATCTTCAGACATGTAAATCTTCAAACTGAAGTCAATATCCATGAGGATGTGGTCTCCCCTCCTCACTAAGGTGTCTATAATCTCTGTGAACTTTGGGCGAGGTTTGTATATGAGGCGACCTTTCTCCTTCAGGCCAGCAATCTCACGGTATATTCCAAACTCAGCTTCCTGGAAATATTGACGAGGTATATAGCACTTGGAATGGATAAGCATTTAGGGTAGAACAGAGGAAAGGAATGCAATATACTCTTCCTTTTATAAACAACACTGACATAAACTTTGGTTCTATCAGTCTGATAGTATATTCTCACATGATACATTCATCAAGGCCGTATTTTAACTTTAATTCATAAATAATTCTTGTGCTATGTAACAATAATTTAACTATTAAAAAATACCAAAATAAGCACTATACATAATTAGTAATGATAAAAGTGGTAAATGCAAATGGCAGGAAAGGTTAACTAATAAGCGGAAGTAGAACAAAAACAAAAGCCAATTAAACATATCATAAATATCATGTCAAATGCATTGTCTTTATTTGGCTCAATAAATATCAGGTAAACACAAGATTTGATTTCATACTCGTACAAATTGTACATTAGAGGAGCCTTGCTCCCACACAGTGGTGACGGAGCGGTCATCCAACACGTCCCGGAGAGACTGGTAGGGTTGAGGGATGTGTCTGACAGCCAGGAGAGCCATGAGGTTGCCGGCGTAGCTCTGCGTCAACACCACCGTCACCAGCCCCCACACTGTCAACACCACCCGCTCCCACCACCAGTATGCACCAGAGTCCAAAACATCTATAATTGGAAAATTATTGTAATTATTATTTCGTATACATTACGAATGTGTATTGATTTTTGTAAACTGTATTCCTATCCTAGTGATAAGTATGACTAAGCAATAGCATGTTATGTTTGGAGACAATGTCTCTGCTAGGACCGTATACTTCATTGAGTGTCACCGTCTGTTACGATATCAATCCTTTCTATGAAGCGAGGTGTGGTGATATCAACGCCATCTATGGACCTACACTCCAAATCCGAGGCATTAGGTGAGACGCAGTCAACGCCATCTGTTGGCGGAGGTGTGGCGTCTGTGAAAACCTCTTGTTTCATACCTCAGTTAAGAGGTGAGGTCGATGATGATGACTTCTTGTTAGTGAAGTAAAGATATCAACGCCATCTAGATTGTACATTCGATTACAGTTTCAGTTCCCCGGTAAAATATTGTCAACCTGTGTTCTCCCTGTATGCTCTCGGTCTGGCTAATAACCTTTATGTCCACAGAGGTGACTTGGAGAGTCTATTGCGCTGTGGAAGGTAGTTCACCTTGGACAGTCCAGAACTCCTGACTTGTTCCTGAGAGGACAAGTGGCCGCAGTTGGTAGTAAGCAGTGTGTTGGCTGTTGTACTTATGCAGTGTTGTGTGGAAAGACGTACGCGGGATTTTGCCAAGAGGAGTTACCAGACGACAGTAGTAGCCGTCTGCTGAGAGTGTTGTTAGAGACTTCTGCTAGGGTGTTAGAAACCCCTGGAAGTGATTATTTGTGACCCCTGTCAGTCCTCGACCAGTGTGTTTCTGGAGAGCAGATGTGGGGGTATTGGGACATAGTGACGATATGGTGTGGACTGGCTCATGTTGAAGGTGAACTCGCCGGTGATTATTATTGAGCGTAGACGATGTATACTTGAAGATAGTGGACTCGGTGGGTTTTGAAGACCACTACAGATATATTAAGTGTCCTGGGTGAAAGTGACACTGTGTACGACAGGTGTTATTGTCTTGTTTACTCCTCTTTATTCCTTTTGCAATTACTTGCTACTGCCAATTCTTGATAACTTGACATTGACCTGGGGTGGGATCATAGAGGCTCTAAGGCACATTAAATAGAAAGAACCTGGTTACTGGCTCAAGCAGGCCGTAACACCATCACAGCCATGTACAAGAGCCTCGTTCATAGCATGGTCTTTATACGTATATGAAATATTGTAATACCTGATGATCATATTTGTTACCTCAGATAATACATTTGTCAACTTTACATACAAAAACTACTTGGATGACCCTTTCAAGAACACTCAAGCCTAGCTACATTTCTCCTAAAATAATTTTAATTGTTCCCAGTGGTGCCCGGGTCGACCCTGTGCCCAGGCCTATGACGCACCCCCCCCCCCCTCCGTGTCTCCATCAATACACACCCTCCCAATCTTCCCAACACAAACCATCCCTATCATCTCTTACACCTTCCTATTCCCCGTCTCTTCTCATCACTGTAACCATTTTCACACCACACAGTCTTCATCACTATAAGCATCTTCATGTCATTCCCATCTACACTAAATAACACTCTCCCAGTCTGCACACACATACTCGCACCATATCCTCCTATATCACTGTAACCATTTTCACTGCACCCTATCTTTATCACTGCAGTCCATGTAACAAAAGGTGTGCCTAGAACACACACATACTCAACACATATATTCAAATGAATATTTGTATTGTCATATCTGAAAATACTAATATTTAAACGAAAGTTAAACTCTACAGACTTCTTGTAGCACATTTCATATCCACTCACCTCGTGAAATTGATGTGGAGAACGATTTCCCTTCAAGGGCTGCTAAAGAGGGGCTGATCTAAACACATTATGTGACTCTACAGAATCTACAATTACAATGTAAAGTTTTGTATGGCTAGCTCCTTACAAATGAGTTATGCTAGTTATGTATGGCTAGTCTAACTTCCAGCTAAACCAGAATAAAACACTTCCTCTTGCATAGATAGAGGATGTGTCCTGCGGTGTCCGGGTCTGCCTGTCTCTCTCCCTCCCCATTTTCTCTCCTTTGCATTCTCCCTTTACATTCTTCAATTCCCATTGCCTTTCATTGTCCCTCCCTCCCTCCTTGTTATTCTCCCTCCCTCACATTTTCCCACGCACTATTCACCCCCTTCCCCCCCCCTTTCCCGTTCCCTCCTCTTTCCTACGCCTCCCTCCCTAATGTTGAATCGGTGTCTATTACGTCTCATTCCAGCCCCCACTTCACCTACCTGCACCCGCTACAGCTATACCTGCACCCACAACACCTATACCTGCACCAACTTCTCATACCTCCACCACTACATCTACGCGATTTCGGCGCCATCTATGGGTCGTCACCGCAATTCCCCGATATTGGACGCTAAGTGAACAACGCCATCTATTGGTGGTGGCGTGACAGAGGCCAATGGCTCCTGTTTCCTTCTTTGGGTTGCCGAAGAGGTCTACATGAATGATCTCTGGAGTATGGCGTATCAAGATCAGCACCATCTAGGTTGTGCTAGGAGCATAATGTCAACTCCCCGGTGAATGAGTGTTACCTCATTGTTTCCCCAGTGTACTGTCCATGTAACTAATGACGTTTTACGTCCACAGATGTGTGGAGGCAGTTGTATTGAGGAAGGCAGTTTACCTTGGGCAGTCCAAGTACTCTCAGCTTGGTCCTGGAAGGAGACTGCCGCCAATCTGAGCAGTGTGTTAGCTGCTGAATATTGCAGTGTTGATAGAGATCAGGCGTACCTGGGATTGGCTTAGGAGAGTAATGGATGACAGTGAGGTGCCTATTGTGAAGCGCTGCTAGTAGGCTGCTAGAGGTTTCTGCCAGGGGTTAGCTACCCCTGTATATGGTTTTGTGACCCCCTGTCAGCGTGTTGCTGAAGTCCTCTGCCAGTTGGTAGCTAGAGAGCGAAAGTTGGGTGTAAGCACCTCGTGAGACTGTGTTGGTGGACTGGCTCACGTAAAAGGTGAACTTGCCGGCGTTTGTCAGTACACATGAGCAAGGTACTGGACTGTGGAAACGCTGGAGTCGTTGAACACAGCCAATGGAGTACTGTCGTGAGTGAAAATGCGCTACTGTATATATATGTAGTTATATTCTTTGTAATGTAATATATTTTTAATGGTGAAGGTGATTATAAAAAAGAATCGTGTAATGTTTATCCCCCCTCCCCCCCTTTATTCGTTCTTGCACTATACAGCCAGTTCTTGAAGGCGTACTACCGACTTGGGGTCGGATCCAATGAAAGAGGTTATATCAAGAACCCGGTTACTGGTCCTACGTGGCCGTAACACACGTCCACCACCTCCTCCCCTGTTCCTTTGCGTTCTGTCCCGAAAGGTCCCCCTCCTGGTTCTCCATCTGGAGTTTCCCTTTTTCCTACCCAGTCTGGCATATCTCCTGTGCCTTCTTTTCCATCTCCCTACGATCCTCCTTCCCATCCTTCTACCCCATCTTTTAGCTCTCCACTACGCCTGTCTGTACAGGCTATTATTCATCATACTCCCAGCGATCTTTGTGTTGTTCGCTCTCGTACTTCTTCTCCTGTTCAGACGCTCGAATCTGTTGCCCAGTACGTTGTTGCTGGAACACCTGCCTCTTTGACTCAGAAATGTAAGCTTGGCTCCTCTCCTTCCTCCTCCCCGGTCGGCCGGGGACAGCACCGGCCAGGACAGCGGCCGGGGATAGGGAGCCGGTCGGCCGAGTGGACAGCACACTGGACTTGTGATCCTGTGGTCCCGGGTTCGATCCCGGGCGCCGTCGAGAAACAATGGGCAGAGTTTCTTTCACCCTATGCCCCTGTTACCTAGCAGTAAAATAGGTACCTGGGTGTTAGTCAGCTGTCACAGGCTGCTTCCTGGGGGTGGAGGCCTGGTCGAGGACCGGGCCGCGGGGACACTAAAAAGCCCCGAAATCATCTCAAGATATAACCTCCACGGTGGATAAGAAGGCATCGCTTTCTTCCTCGGGGGGGCCCCCCCCCCCACGTCTGGCTCCATCACTCCGTCCCCTCCCGTTTCGGTGGTCGGGACCCCTGTTCCTGCTATTGCGTTTTTTTTTGGCCCCCGCTTCCCTCTTGGTTGCTGCCCTTACTAAGGTACTCTCCCTGGTTTCTTTCCCTCATCCTCCTGCTGTCCTTGACTGCCCCTCTTGGTTGTCTCCTCCTCTAGACCCTGCCCATCTGCCTCTGGTCTGTCCTCCTGCTCCTTTCCCTCCTTCCTTACTCAGTTTACCCATGCCCCCCTAACCCTGACTTCTCTGACCTTGATCCTGAGCTAATTTAACATACTGTGTTCTTTTTTACCTTTTTTTTCGTTGTTCTGTTGTTGTCCTTTCTCTTTTTGCCTGTCTCTTCTTCAAAGGAATATTCGTGGATATTACGCCAATTTCCATGAACTGCAACTTCTGATTTTGCAGTTTTCGCCCCTTTGTGTCTGTCCCCAGGAGCCGATGCTTGGTGCTCGTCCTGGTCGCTTTCGTGGCTATTCCTTTCTCTTCCCTCCCCCCCCCCCCCCAGCTGTTGCTGGGGCTTCTAACTCTTCTGCTCTCTTGATTCGCTCTGATGTTCCCCTTGGCCCCTTACTTTTTCCTTTGCCTCTCCATTGTTCTGCTGCTCGTATCTTTGTGGGGAAATGGTACACGATTTGTTCCATTTATCTCCCTCCCGGTTGTCCCGCTTTCTCTTCCCGATCTATACACCTACTGGACTCCTTGCCGGAGCCTATGTTCCTGCTAGGTGATTTTATTTGTCGACATACCCTTTGGGGTGATGTTCTGACGAACACCCAGGGTCGCCTTCTTGAGTCGTTCATCCCCTCTTCTTCCCTGTCTCTTCTAAGTTCTGGTGAGCCCACGCATTTGGACTCTGGGACTCGCACCCTTTTCCTGTCTTGATCTTTCTCTTTGCTCGTCTTCTCTTTACTTAGATTTCACATGGCAGGTTATTGATGACCTTCATGGCAGTGACCATTTCCCCATCCTTGTTACCTTTTCTCTTTTCACCCTCCCCTCTCCTTCCCTAGGTGGCAGTTTGCTAAAGCAGACTGGAACCTATTTACCCTCAGTGCTGCTCTCTCTGACCTCTTCCTGACCTCTTCCTTCTGCCTCTCCCTCCCTGTCTCCTCCTTTTTCATGACACTGTCTTCGACGCTGCCCTCTGCTCTATTCCTCGCTCTTCCTCTCGGAGTCCACGGAAGTGCGTTCCCTGGTGGAATACAGACTGTGCTTGGGCTGTCCGCTGTAAGCGTGCAGCCTGGAAGAGACACCGCCGTCGGCAGACGGCCGATTCCTTTCTTTTCTTTCAGAAGGCGAGTGCGGTGGCCCATAGGGCCATCCGTACGGCTGAACGTGAATGTTGGGCATCTTATGTTTCCACCATTACGTCCGAAACTCCCCTGCCACAGATCTGGAAGCGTATCTGCAAGATAGCGGGTAAGTTCGTTCCCGATGTTTCACCGGTCCTTCACATCCGTGGTACTCCTGTGGCGGACCCATTGCAGATCACTTTCTGCACTCGTCTTCAACTTCCCTATAACGATCACCTCTCTCTCTCTGAACTTCGTTCTGCCCTGGCCCACTGCGGTTCTACAGTGGCGGGCTCTGATAGCATTAATTATGAGATGCTTCGCCATCTCCCTCCGTGCACGTCTCGGTATTTAATGAGTCTGTATAATCGGATCTCGGAGTCGTCGTCGGTCCCTGAGGACTGGCTCGATGCCGTTGTCCTCCCTGTTCGCAAGCCAGGGTCTCTGGGAACATCCCCTAAGGACTTTCGCCTTATTGCCTTCACAAGTTGTGTCTGCAAACTCTTCGAATGTATGGTTAACGTTCGTCTGATGTGGTTCCTGGAACACCATCACCTACTCTTCCCTTCTCAATTTGGTTTCCGCAAGTGCCGCAGCACAACAGATGTCCTGGTGAACTTGGAGGTCTATATTCTTACTGCTTTTGCTGCGAAGACCTCCGTTGTTGTCGTCCTTTTTGACCTGGAAAAGACTTATGACACCACTTGGAGATATCATATTCTATCTCAACTTCACTCTTTTGGCCTTCGAAGTCGTCTCCCTCTCTCTCCGCAGCTTCCTCTCTCGTCGTTCCTTTCGGGTGAGGCTTGGTACCGCTCTCTCTGCCTCTTTTCAGCAATACGAAGGTGTGCCCCAGGGTAGTGTTCTGAGCACTACTCTTTTTCTGGTTGCCCTCAATGGTCTTCTTTCCTCTCTTCCTTCAGGCGTCTTCTCTGCTCTCTATGTCGATGATCTTACCCTTTGCTGTCAGGGTGATGATTCACCTCTCCTTCAATGCCGGCTTCAACTTGCGAATGATGCCGTGTCGTCTTGGGCCACCGATCATGGCTTCAAGTTCTCTACTTCTAAGACTTGTGCCATGACTTTTACTCGGAATCGGGTCGCTCTTCGTCCCTCTGTCACTTTATGGTCATCCCCTTGAGTACAAAGATTCCGTGAAGCATTTGGGGTTATTCTTTGACAATCGTTTGTCTTGGTCTTCCTATACCTCTTACCTCCATGTTGAGTGTCCTAAGGCCCTTACCCTTCTTTGGGTATTGTCCCATACTTCTTGGGGGAGCGGATAGGCGCACTCTCCTTGCTTTACATTCCTCTCTCGTCCTGTCTAAGCTCG